GTACGACAAAAAGGTTATACTAAAAGGTAGAACAAAAAAGTTGTATAAAAAAGTGAGAGAGAAAGGTGATATAAAAAGGTTGTACAAAAAGCATTACCCTTATTAAAATTGTTCACAATGTCCCTTCCTCAAACTTGCATGGTATGGTGTTTTTGTTAAAATTAGTAAAGTAATTTTCTAGAAGGGTTACTGTTCATGAATAGCTCTTCAACTTTCAGTTATGTAAGCGTGTGAGATCAAATATGTTTGTGTCAGTTACAATTAGTTTATTTTGTTTAGTGGTGTGACAGTTTCTTCTACAGTTTGTAACTTCTTTTCATTTCAGCAATGTTTATGTATTTTCATCATCTTATTTTCTAAGTAATAGAAGAAATTCAATCATACAAGTCTTGTTCCTTTTTAGCCATTTTTGAAGTTCTTTGGTTTGCTTTTCTTCACTAAGGTTGCTGATCTTGGGGTTAGTGTGTCTTTGGTTGCACTAAGACTTTTTTACATGGTATCAGAGCTAGAGAGATAAGCAATTGCTCTGTGACAAGATCTCTTGTGAAGGAAATCAGCCGGTGTTCCAAAATGGATTCAAGTGGTCGTGTTGTTGGACTTGGTATGGAATTATTGAACCAGTCCAATTATAATGTATGGAAGACTTGCATGGAATCTTATCTTGTTGGTGAGGACCTTTGGGATGTTGTTGGTGGTAATGACATTACTGCTCCAGAAAATAATGAAGAAAATGCTGAGGCCTTTAAGCAATGGAGGCAAAGGAATGCTAAGGCAGAATTTGCCTTGAAGAGGTCTATTTCTCATGGAATGTTTGAGCACATAATTCGTTGCAAATCTACCAATGAAATTTGGCAAACACTAGACAGGTTATTCAACAAGAAAGATGTGGCTCGGCTGCAGTTCTTGGAGAATCAACTCTCTAATGCCTGTCAAGGGGACCTCTCTATGGCTCAATTTTTTCTGAAAATTAAAAATTTATGTTCAGAAATTTCAATTTTGGATCCAGAGGAGCCTATCTCTGAAGCTCGTATGAAGCGGCATATTGTTCGCGGGTTAAAGCCAGAGTACATTCCTTGTGTCACCTCAATTCAAGGGTGGGCTTAACAACCATCCTTGGAAGAGTTTGAAAATCTCTTGTCCTCACAAGAGTCTTTGGCCAAGCAAATGGCAGGTTTATCTGTGACTTATCAAGGTAGTGGTGTTGACAATAAAAATGTTCTTGTAGCTGAGAAAAGGAAAATCTTCAACTCAAAAGAAAAGAAAGATGGTGCAGAGTATAGAGTTGGTGCCTCTTATTCTTCAAATTTCGAGAAGAAAATCTTTAGATGCTATCGGTGTGGTAAACTTGGACATGTGAAGAAAAATTGTCGTGTCAGGCTAATGCAAGGAAATTGGGTTGAAGCTGAAGGTGGTGATAAACAGGGTTCTTCTCAAAGCAATGAAGAAGACTAGGGAAAGTGTTTCATGGCCAAAATTGCATCCAATTCTGCTTCAATCGATTTTAAGAATGATTGGATCATAGATTCTGGTTATGGTCATCATGTGACTGGTGATGCTTCCAAGTTCTCAAGTCTTCATCTTCATAAAGGCAAAGATGCAGTTATCACAGTTGACAACACAGTTCACTCCGTGGAAAAAGAAGGGACAGTTATTCTCGGTGGTTGCAAGGAAAATTCCATTACACTCACTAATGTGTATCATGTCCCAGGTATGACAAAAAATCTTTTCTCAGTTACAAATGCTGTGGACTCTAGGAATTATGTCTTATTTGGCCCTAATGATGTGAAATTTCTTCGAAATATTGAAGAATTAAAAGCTGATGTTGTTCATGTTGGTAAAAGAACTGATGATGTGTATGTTTTATCAACCTCAACATCCTTTGTTGAGAAACTAAGTGGCCATGACAATGCTTCTATATGGCATGCTTGTCTTGGGCATCTTAACATGAATAAATTGAGAGTTATGGTGCAGAAAGAATTAGTCAAAAGGCTGCCAAACCTAACCAGTTTTGGTGATGGTGGAAGTTGTGAAGGTTGTCAATATGGCAAGGCTCATAGGCTTCCATTTGAGAAGTCTTTTTCTAGGTGCAAAGCTCCATTGGATTGCATTCATAGTGACTTGTTTGGGCCAACTCCCACTCCTTATTCTGGTTTTCGCTATATGTTGATATTTGTTGATGATTTCACAAGATTCACTTGGGTTTATTTTGTGAAGGAGAAATCAGAAGTTTTCCTCAAATTTCAAGAGTTCAAGGAAACTATTGAACGAGCTCTTGAAAGGAAAATCAAACAGCTTCGAACTGACAATGGAGGTGAATTTACTTCTGATGCTTTTAATTCCTTTTGTCGTAGTGAAGGGATAAGAAGGGAACTCTCTTGTGCTTACACTCCGCAGCAAAATGGAGTGGCAGAGAGGAAAATTAGACATCTTGCGGAAACTTGTAGAAGCTGGTTACATGCAAAAAATCTACCAAAAGAATTATGGGCAGAAGGAATGAAATGTGCAGCTTATGTGATCAACAGGGTGCCGCTTAGTCCAATCAACATGAAGTCTCCTTATGAGTTGATGTTTGATGAGAAGCCCAATGTCAGGCACTTTAGAATTTTTGGCTCTATCTGTTATGTCCATGTGCCAGATTCTCAAAGAAACAAGTTTGATGCCAAGGCTAGAAAGTGCATTTTTGTTGGCTATGATGAACAAAAAAAAGGGCTGGAAATGCATGGATCCTATCTCTCACAAATTTGTTGTGTCAAGAGATGTGGTTTTGGATGAAATTTCATCCTACTATGGTTCTACTAAGGATTTGGAGCTTGAAGTTACAAGTTTGCCTTTCACATCAAATTCAAGTTCATCTGCTTCACAGGAAAAGCAGGGTGAAAGGGGGAGCTCTAGTTCAAGTGAAAATGGTCAACAACAAAAAGAAGATGGTGCTGCTAATCAAAGATCAAAACGGAATATTGTTAAACCAGCCCGCTATCGAGATGAAAATTTTACTAGCACTTACTCTTGTTTCTTTGCAGGACCATCTGATGATGAAGTTCCTTTGTGCTTTGAAAAGGCAAAAGGTGTCAAAGTATGGGAGGATGCAATGGATGAGGAAATGAATGTGCTATTTAAAAATGAAACTTGGGATCTTGTTCCAAAACCCAAGGATGTACAGCTTGTTTCTTGTAAATGGGTGTACATAATTAAGCATAAGGTTGATGGGAGCATAGACAGATATAAAGCAAGGCTGGTTGCTCGTGGATTTTCTCAAAAGTATGGAGAAGATTATGAAGAAACCTTTAGTCTTGTTGCCAAGATGACTTCTGTTCGTATAGTATTAGCTCTTGCAGCCTCTCAAAATTGGAAATTGTGGCAACTTGATGTCAAAAATGCTTTTCTATATGGAGAGCTTGATAAAGACATTTACATGCAGCAACCACCAGGCTATGTTGCAAATTCTCATCCAGACTTTGTTTGCAAACTCAAGAAAGCTCTTTATGGGTTAAAGCAAGCGCCAAGGGCCTGGTATGGAAAAATTGCTCAATATTTGCAATTTTGTGGTTATCTTGCTTCAGATTCTGATCATAGTTTATTTGTGAAAAAGCAATCCAGCTTGCATGTTATAGTTCTACTATATGTGGATGACAT